ACAAAGGTGGGAGTTATAGTACAAGGCAAAAACAGATAACCTACACCGAGAATTTCAGTCCATTTATCAATTAATTACTTTATTCCTTTTGAGATATATATATATTATTTTTTATTTATATATATTGATATATTTTACAGCCAGTAAACTCTCGGTGTTCGAGCCATGATGCTATTCTGAATATTAGGTAATATAACTTAGAATATAGGAATTGATACATTTAGATTTTTAGATTTATGGTTCGTTTATTTAATGGAAGAAATGTTTATTGTAAATTTGGAGTAATTTAACTGTCATTTAGATTTTGGACTTTTAAATTGATTGCGTCCGTAAAATAAAACGCATCCTCAGAACTGAAGTAGAGCCAGAAGGACTTGAGAAGCACAGATGTGTTATTAGGAAACTAGGACATTGTATTTGAAATGTTTGTTAAACCTTTTTCATTAGATAAAGATTTTTTTGTTTGTGAAGAACCCAGCTCGACTCAGATATGGGATCTGCCTCATAACTCTCATAACTGACCTGATCATGTTGGTCTGGTCGGAGTTCTCCAGGACGCCGATCACCAGCAGGTTGACGGAGCGGATGACCTGAGTCCCGTCCTCCACGTCCTCCACCCGGCTGTCCAGCATCAGGGTGATCAGGCCGTGCATCAGGTCCTTCAGCACGCCCGTGGAAGCCTCCCTGGCCAGGGCCTCCATGTGGAAGAGCTATGGGGGAGGGGGGGGGGAGACGGGGGGGAGACGGGGGGGGGTCAGGGCATCCTGAGATCACAGACTACTACTATAGCCACAGGCAAGAGGGAGATTTTTTTAGAAAATATATTAAAAATACTCTGCACAGTATTTAAATAAATAAATAAATAAATAAAATAGTTTTATTTATTTATTTATTTTAAGTAATAGCAAAATTTTTAGTAATAGCACAATTTATACATTTCTTATTAATATTTTGCAAAATGATTTTGACTTTTTTTTTATTTTACTTTTACATGTATTTGGATTTTAATAGAATTATTTTGACGCCTAATCAACACAGGTTCATGTTAGCTGTTAGCTGTTTTTGTGTTATTGTGAAGTTTAATTAATAGAAGTGTATATGAAAATTAAGTAGTGAATCTCCATTTTATTTATTTGCATTTATTGTATTTTAAATAGGCCTATAGGCTCATGGGTCTTTTGTAAAAGCTCACAGACTACTACTGTAGTCTGTAAGCTACTCACACGGTAACAGGAAGTTGCGACGGGGAGATTTTTAAAAAATGTATTAATAATACTTTGCACAGTTTATACATTTCTTATTAATATTTAGGGAAATTATTTGGACGTTTTTGTTTTACTATTACATGTATTTGGATTTTTATATAATTATTTTAAGGCCTAATCAACACAGGTTCATGTTGGCTGACCAAATCTACGTTGTTCTAGTGTTAGTGCGAAGTTTAATTAATAGAAGTGTATATGAAAAATAAGTAGTTAATCTCAATCTATTTTATTTATTTGCATTTATTGTATTTTAAATAGGCCTATAGGCTCATAGGTCTTTTGTAAAAGCTCAGAGACTACTACTGTAATCTGTCAGCTACTCACACGGCCACAGGAAGTGGCGAGAGGGAGATTTTTTTTTTAAGTATTAAAAATACTTTGCACAATTTGTACATTTCTTATTAATATTTTGGGAAATTATTTGGACTTTTTAATTTTACCATTACATGTATTTGGATTTTAATAAAATTACATTGAGGCTTAATCAATATATGTTCATGTTAGCTGACCAAATCTACGTTGTTCTTGTTTTATTGTGAAGTTTAATTTATTGAAGTGTATATGAAAATTAAGTAGTGAATCTCAATCTATTTGATTTAGGTTCATGTTAGCTGTTCTTGTGTTATTGTGAAGTTTAATTAATAGACAATAAAGTAGCGAATCTCAATTTTATTTATTTGCATTTATTGTTTTTTAAATAGGCCTATAGGCTCATAGGTCTTTTGTAAAAGCTCCCAGACTACTACTGTAGTCTGTCAGCTACTCACACGGCCACAGGAAGTGGGGGTGCTGCAGCACCCCCTAGTGGTGAGAGGAAGATTTCTTTTTAAAAGGTGTTAAAAGTACTTTTTTACATTTTCTATGAATATTTTTAGGAAATGATTAGGACTTTTTTGTTTTACTATTACATGTATTTGGATTTTAATAGAATTATTTTCAGGCCTAATCAACACTGGTTCATGTTGGCTGATATTGTGTTTATGTGTTATTGTGAAGTTTATTTAATAGCGCATATATATTCACCTGAGAAAATTAAGAGTGAATCTCAATCTATTTTATCTATTTGCATTTAGTGTGTTTTAAATAGGCCTATAGGCTCTTAGGTCTTTATCCATCCATCCATCCATTGTCCACCGCTTATCCGGGGTCTTAGTTAAACTAAATAACTAAATCCCCCCTGTTCACAGTGATCTCGGGCCCTGGCGACTAGGGTTGTCAAAAGTATCGATACTCGAAAAAGTATCGATACTAAAATGTTGTATCCGGATACGATACTCATTTTCAAAAGTATCGATACCACAGCAAAGCTGACCTGCCGTCGCTGCGCCCCTTCTCTCTGATTTATTTATGCATTTATTTACGTTGTTTATGATCATTAACAAGACGTTAGCCTTGCTATCTGCGGCTAATGGCTAATAATAACATGCTACCATTAATGAAGTACATATCCAACTTTGCCCACATCAAGTCGGCCATTTTTATTAGGTCACCAATAGGAAGATCCCAGGCAAGAAAATCCTAATTGCTTAATGGCAATATAGACATTAATTTAAAAATAGTAAAATGAATCCTGCAAACACTCAATTAAACTCTATCCATAATATGATGTTAAAATAGTGGATGTTAAATAGGTTTCTACAATAAGTCCAAACAAGTTTAACCAAAAGATATTTATTTCTCACTATTATGAAGGCCGGAGTGTTAGGGTTAGGGTCATTAATGTGGGCCACCAGTCACAATAACATCAGTAACAGGTCAGTTTGAAATGAAAGACACAATTCAGTTAAATTTTGGGGTCTTTGTTTTTATCCTTGTGGTATCGAAAATGGTATCGAGTATTTTCCTGAGTATCGGTATCGAGTTGAAAATTTTAGTATCGTGACAACCCTACTGGCGACTCACAGACAGCATGTTCCCGATGATGCAGCTGTACAGCTTGATGACGTCCCTCTTGTCCACGCGGTCGTCGGCCAGGTGCGTGCTGTTGACGAGGCGCAGCTGCATGATGGTGGCGATGAGCAGCTGGTCGATGTGACCCGACATCACGTCCGCTTTGTCCTCCTGACGCAGGACCTCGTCGATCTGACAAAGACGAGAAACATTTAATTATTTTTGTTTTTTTATTGTGGAGAACTTTGGATCTAATTCCAACGGCGCAGCACTAAAGCAACAAGCTGACAGTAACAGCTTACTTTAATTTTAATTAAAGTAACCTGCATTAGTTATTATGAAATATATTCCATCCTATTTCATAATATATTAATTTCTACTTTCTATAGCCTATTTACGGATAAAGGTTTCAAGCGTGAGGCTTTTAACTAACTAGGCCCTTAACTAGTTTTTCTTAGATTATTGTACTATTTACATTATATATATATATATATATATATACATACATATACATACACATACACACACACTTTGTATAATTTTATAATATCAATTATTTGTATTAATATGAATTCACCCCAAAAAAATAGATGTAATCAAACTAGAACTCCTCTACCATTTGATTTCCCTATTGGCGGATGGATGTTTTGCATGTCAAAAGTTTTTTCCTCGTCTCTTAAAACAAAAAAGTCAAACGTTTTTCATGACATTTTGAAAGTTTTCCAACTAAGTAAGTAGGCTGAATAGGGACCGGCCTAGAATAAACCCATAGAAGTGAGAATGTAAGTGGGCAAACCTGCAAAATCAGCAAGGGGTCAAATACTTATTTCCCCCACTGTAAACATAAGAAGGTTTGTGAGGCCCCGGGTCCCATGAGGAACCGGGACCGGGTCAGAACCAGAACCGGGTCAGAACCATAACCGGCCGGGTCAGAACCAGAACCGGGTCAGAACCAGAACCAGAACCGGGCCTGGACC